TCTGAGTCCAACAAAAAATTAAAAATGAAACAACAAAGACTTAATTCAGGTGGTTAAAAACAACTTTTTCATGCTATTTATAATTTCTCTTGGGGTTTTACGGGGAGTGGTTTATAGAATGTGTATTTCTTTATGTTCATAATTGTATGTGATTATCATGATAATATAATCATAATTAAAATTAAACTAACTTCATTTTCCATCAGTATTATATGTTTTTTATCCATTTGTATGCTTCTTCTGTAACATATAAGATAATGTATAGTTGGTTATTTCTAACAAATCCTTTCAGTGTCTCACATCTATTGTCATTGATGACTTTATCTTCTTCTTCTGAACCCCAAGTCTCCAACTTCCAGCTTCCCATTAATCTGAACTGAACACCCTGCTGGTAAGTCCTTCTTTTGAATGCATTCCTTCAAATTTTAGGCAGCATTCAGGTTAAGCACATAGAGAGAGATATGTAACATCGTGGATTACTCTCATGGGGTTCTGTAGAATACTTGTACATAAAAATCATCTACCAGAGTTTGCTCAAAGGGCAAAACATATATAGCACTTCAGTTGATTGATCCATATTCGAATATTGTTAACTAATTTCGTATTCGTGGTACTTGTGCTTGTATAGTGCAATTTAATTCAGGTTGCGTTGTTTGTTAATAATATGTTCCAAAAGTTTAGAGATTGAACTCTGCTATATATTAGGCTTGTTTTATGCTGACTGCACTTCTGGTTGCTAAAAAAATTGTTATCCACTTTTCTGTATGTAATGTTTGGTTGTTGTTTTGTTTCCGTTCGGATTGTTTGGGGTCTCTTCCATCTTGGCTTGACTAGTTTGGTATCGAATTAAGAAGCTGTTTCAGGCTTTGGAATAATTTGTGGTTTGGATTATTTGAAGGTTATGGTTTGTGGTTTCCTTCTTTCGCTATCAAGGGTTTGTAAATTGAATACTTTGCGCACTAGCAAAGGACCTGTCTGTGTTAACAAGGGATATAATCCCAAATTAGTATTTTTGGAAACCTAGTTAGAGCTTATTATTAGGTGGATAACAATCGATTTAATGTTTTGGATACTAGTGTATCGGTCAAGGATATCACTTTAGACTTAGAGAAAGGTCATAGACTTCTAGTAGCTATCCACTATAGGCATCGGCAAGATTTGTGATTTAGGGAGAACTAGTTAGTAAGTTCTATTTTGAAATTGGCTAGTATTCTTTGTTTTTAATCTGAGTTTGTTACTTGAGTTTTGTGAATATCATGTTAAAGGAGATAAGTTATCTCACACCATAGAGACAAACTTGTGAGTTTCACCACCTGAAAAAATAAAAAGAAAAGAAAAGAAAAAGTAGCACAATTATCGAAGAATGTGTAGGAGAGAAAACTTATCCCATGTAACATGAGAATAATTTTTCCCTTGTTACTTATGATAAACTTAAAACCTAGAAAGCAGTAAGTTTTAAGTATTTGTGTGCATGGAGCGGTTCATAACCGATTTTGACAAAAACCGAACCGAACCGATTTTAAATGGTTTGGTTTTAAAACCGAACCAGTTTTTTTTTCAAAATCAATTTTTATTTATCCAAATCAGTTTGAAACCGGTTCGAAAATCGGTTTATGATTAAAAACCGATTTTGATTTAAAATCAATCAAAACCGGTTTTAATTGTAACGATTCAAAAAGAAAAACGGTAAAATGTAATGGGAGGAGATAAGAATGTTTACTCCTTTTTAAATTCAAAATGAAAAATCGGTTTTGATTGTAACGATTCACAACCAAAATCGATTTTAAAATCAAACACCATGTTACTGCATCGAAGCAAAGCAAGTAATTTTTACAGATTCAGATTTTTCTTTCCTGTTCCAAATAAAAAAAAGCATAATCTCTGCTCTTTTTTTAATTCAAGAGTTACTGCAAATCAATTAAAATTGGGAATTTGGGAGTTAGGGTTCATAGGCTAAAAAATAAGAGATTCTGAATATTGAAAATAGGGTTAAAAAGTAAAAATAAAAAATTATTAAAAAAATAGATATGGTTTAGTTATGTTGGATATCCAAACTGTTGTGAAAATGGATAACCGAACCTAAACCAAAATTAAAAAACTGGATTGGTTTTTTAAACCGTTTTATAAAAATCGGTTTTTGGAACTGGTTTGGTTCAGTTTATGGATTGGTTTGGATCATTTGGTTTTTTTGAACACCCCTAATTTTAACTTTGAAGAATGATATTAAAATAAAGGAAATTTTCAATAATTGGTCAAGTCATACATAAATGGTAAATTTTAGCTTTAATTTCGATTTTTGGATTAAATATATCAATTTTTATATAAGTTTCGACAAAATAAAAATGAACGGTTGAAGAAATTTTGTCCTTGGTTCTAATTTATTTACCACCCCAGTATGGATTAGAGGAAAAATTGAGTGAAGAGAGAGAAAAGAAAAATAACTTTTGAATCCAATAATCATTAAGGTGATAGTGGGATAGTAATAGAAACATATAGTAGTATGAATATCCTACCTCTAAAATAAATTAGAGTTATTAGTATTGGACTTAAATTTACTTTGCTTATCTAATAATTATTAGTTTAAGTGGTAATGTTTTTATTTACCTTATATTTCGAGTTTGAGCCTTGAAAACAAAAATAATAATTTAGGAGAGCCATGTCTAGTAATGTTCAAATTTGATTAATCGAATTATATACCTGAAACCAATGTAAAGATTGTCATTGTAGGATCAACTTACACCGATGTAAGAATAATAAGTCTTACATCAAATTTTAACCGTTAATTTCTGTGAATCTAAAAGTTAAAATTATTGGATCATATTTATTAATTAATCATTAATTCTCAATAAATTATAATCATTATATTCATGAAAATCAATAGTTAAGATTTGATATAAAATTTATTATTCTTACCCAAATATAACTTGATTATAATTTATTTTACCTTATTATTAGTATAAATATAAGTATTCGATTATAATATTATTATAACATAAGAAAATATTACTTTTTTTTTTCATAAGATAACTTCTCTTATGCTCTCTCACTTTAATTTTTGCATCTCACATTTTTCTTTTTTCTTGTAATTGTGAGAGATCCACCTATTTTTGCATCCACCTATTTTTGCATCTCACATCTGATAATTATATTTTCTTGCTTTTTCCTTGTTTATATCCTAAAGTTTTAGCTGGAACTTAACATAGAAAAGAATCAATTTCTGTATAAAAAGGAGGTAAAAATGAAACCGGATCAAATCACAACACGGCAAACAATGTAATTTGCCCTTTTTATGATTTCACTCGTTATTTGTTTATTTGCTTCTTGATGCTGTAATTGGCTATATTTTTGTAGCTAGCGACTGGATTCCACTAGTTTTACTTCTCAGCCTATTTTGTAAAACTTTATTTTATTTGTTTTTATTTTTAAAAGAAACCAAAGGAAAACGGAGAAAACGAAGGGAAAGTAAAAGTGCACAGATACGAGACCAAAACTCTCACCTAATTGAAGAATTTCTAAGATACTACGAGAATAGCATTTTTAACGGTTGGGATTTGATTTAATATTTATAAAATTTCAAACTAAATATCATTTTTTTATGGACAAAATACGTAAGAAAGCTCCAAGAAAAGCGAGCATTGGATAAGGTTGAAAGGTTTGGTCAACTTCGTCCGTGTGCCTTCTTTCAAAGAGTAGAGGGTAGATTTTATGTAAGATTTGGAGCTGAGTGAATGAAAGTGGGGACAAGTCATTAATATCTGATATAGAAAGCATACCAAAAAGTGGTGGGGTTGCCTACTCTTTCCCTTTTCATTTTCCATACCTTTGATTTTGAAGTTCTCCTCTAGCTAGCGCTTTTCAAATATGCAATGTACGAGCAATTATAATTGATGTACGATTAGACCCCAGTTATATATCAGACCAAAAAAAAAAAAAAAACAATAAATGATTATGAATATTAGGTTCAAAATTATTGACTAGTGTTTTTCCATGACTATATATCCTAATGGGATGCCGAAATCCAATGACTAATTGTTACTGTAAAATAATCAAAGATTTCACTGGTGTGGTGACTATATATTAGCTTGTCACTGTTAATCACCCGTGTGAAAGCTCACTAGTCACTAACTTTATAGGTTTTATTTTTTATTTTTAAATATAATCATGAGATTAAAATTTGAATCTATAATCTTTTATAAATTACTCAAGTTTCTCACTAAATGGGAAGATTTTCTTTTCTATTTTTTTATAAGAGTTTTCTTACTCCAATTCTATTTCATGGGCTTTTAAGGAACAATATGAATATTGTACAGACTAGAACTTAACCACTTATAAGGTAAGTACAAATTAAAATAATAAAAATATGAATCCCAAATCCCAATTATTTAAAAGAAGGAAGGAGATATATACCTAATCAGAAAACGTGAAGTACCTTGTACCAAAAAAAACCTATATCTACCCAACATAGAGCCTAAGATTGGGTTTCAGCTCTTTCAAGTCATAGTTTACAGTGGAGGGAGTTTGTAGTTGTTATTCAAAATAAAGAAATTAATCTTGTGTACAATGGATATATAATGGAAGGATAGTTTTCTTTAAAAAGAATAAACATTTTGTAAATATATACCAACATTTACATTTGCTTATATGACAATAAATTACTTCAAATTTAACTGTCTCATGTACATTTACTTTAATTATTTTTACATAAACCAAATGTGAGATGTACACTTGATGTGAAAATACTATTTATAAGTATTTTGGACAAAAAATAAGAGTCAAGAAAAAGTTGTTTACCATTCATTTTGAGGGGTGAGGAGAAGGTGTTTGGTTGGTTAATGAAGTCCACCAAGAGAGTTAAAAGAGCATTGAATGCATTTTGCAACTTCTTTGGACACACACACCACTTGCCTTTCTACTACTTCAGTTCTTCTACTGCTCATTACCTCTATATATTCTCTCTGTCTCACCATTTTCTTGATAACTGAACTCATATTTGATTCTGCTCCACCCTCACTTTTAATTCTCTTTCAACCATGAACCCATCTGAGCAGTTTGTGGAACATGGAATATCCCAGCAGGTCCTTTTTTTTTTCCTTTCCTTTCTTGCACTCTGAAGTCATAAACTTAGGAACTATCACCCCTTAACTTTTTATTCACTTGTCCATTCCTACATAGTTATTATTCAGTGCAAGTCTTCATGTGTGCCCATGTTCTCTGAAATGTTTAAGGTTCTGAACTTCCATGGACATGTATGATATTTTAAGCTAAATGGAGTTTATAAGGGCATTGCCAGGTTCTGCTTGGGATTACAGCCATCAGTGTCCTTTCGTAATGCCTTCTGTTATTTACTAGCTTTTTGGCTTTAATGGTGGAACTTATTGGGGATTGTATGTGGGTCTTATTAACATTACATAGGGTCCTCACTGTGCTATTTGTACAATATGACACAGCTGATTATGATGAACTACTTCTGACATCTCTATTTATTTCATTTCTTAAATTTTCATGTTTGATTAATGTTTGTGTTTTAAATTATGGAGAACGTTGGTCTTAATCTTAACAGATTTTGACTAGATATCTTACTTCTAGCATTTCCCTTTTTAAATTAAAAAAAAAAAAAGAAAGATAATGAAATGGATGCTGCTCTGACATATGTAAGCTGATAGAATGCTAAGTGCGTGATGATGAAATTGTGTAGAAATTTTATTTACTTTGGCGTATAGTATAGCATCTGGGGAAAGTTAAATGTGTATATTATTAATTTTTTATGTTTGGCTTCCTGTGTCAGAATTTAAAGAGGACATCTTGCGCAACAGTGCTCACTCTGGCTTACCAAAGTCTTGGAGTAGTTTATGGTGACCTCAGTACTTCCCCTCTTTATGTTTACAAGTCCACATTCTCTGGGAAATTGAGCCTCAAAGAAGATGACGAGGAAATTTTTGGGGTGCTTTCATTTATCTTCTGGACATTTACCATTATCGCTCTCTTCAAATATGTTTTCATTGTGATGTCTGCTGATGACAATGGGGAAGGTAGAATCTTGAATCTTGAATCTTGAATCATGCTGAAGCCTGTTATTATTATGATGTGTGTCTGTCCATTTCCTCAGTTTTTCAAGATGCTGAAGCCAAGCTAATTATAACTGTTTGGGAAGGATACAAAATTTTATAATCACATTCTTATACTGAGCCAAAAATCACGCAACTGACTTCTGATTTGATAAATAAAAGATGCACAATCTATATTCTGCCATTTGTTCTTTTTGTCTTTATTTAAGTATGAGCATAGTTTTTCCCCTTTATCTTTAGTTTCTTGAAATATAATCATGTCTGATATGATTAATTAATTAGCAGAATAATATTTCAGGATTAATTTTCACGAAACTATCATTCTTTGTTTTTAAAATAGAAATTTCCTGTCAATGTACTTTCACCTACTTTGTAAGTTGAACAGCTAGCTACATAATCCATTTTCATCTTTTAATGGTACAGTGCAAGTGAAATCTTTTTCTCCATGAGAATCTAAGAAGTTCTCATGTTGATGAGGATAATTAGTTAAATCTTTCTAGAATCATTGGTTCACCTTATTGTGCAGGAGGTACCTTTGCATTATACTCACTTCTCTGCCGACATGCAAGGCTAAGCATTTTACCAAATCAGCAACCCACAGACGAGAAGTTGTCATCTTATGCCATAGAATATTCTGCAGACACATGGCAATCTGCTCTTTTGAAGTTGTTCTTCGAAAAGCACCCAAGGTTCCAGAAAGGACTGCTAATCTTTGTTCTGCTAGGAACCTGTATGACAATTGGTGATGGAGTGATTACTCCTGCAATATCAGGTAGTTGACCAGGAGCAGCCCCTGATCTTCTATAATGATGTTTACTTCATGACTCCTTGTAAGCTATCACCTTAACTTAGCTGTCTGGTGTTACTTGTACAAGGGAGCTTAGTCTAATATGAAAACACACGAAGCATATGAGCAATCATTGAGTTTGTTACAGATATGTGAAATGTGAATGCATCCCTTAAATGATAACTTTAGCTGTTTACTGATTGCCAGAATTGATTATTTATTGTTAATTTCATCAGATAATAGCAAATTTTAGATTAAATATTTGTACTGTTTACTGAAAAATATACTAATTCTGGACATACTTCTCAATCATCATCAAATAGTTGTGTACTTCGTGATGTAATGTATGGTGTAGATAGTCTGAACACCTGTTAGCAGGGAAAGGGAAAATCAATCACTGAAGATTATTGATATTCTGTACTTACTTAATAATTTCTTAAGTTTGGTTGAAAAGGAAAATATGATTCTCTTTTCGAGGAAGATTTGTTCAGTGAAATGTTTTTCTTAGGGATCTCTTACAAAAGAACATTATATATTACGAGTATCATGTTCAACTAGCACACGACTCTAGCGGAGTGCAATATTTTAGGTTGTCATTTGTCAAATGAGGAGCTTGTTAATTATTATGTAATAATGAGGAAATTGGATGGTACTAGTGAATTTGTTATGGGTGGTTACTATTAGGCAAGTATTATACTATGGAGGTTACAAACCTAAGCTAGTTTTGCAGAATAAGTGAGAAAATAAGATATGCTAAGGGATGTAATTGGGCATTTTTAAGAATATGGAGGGGCAAGGGGTAAAGAAACCTACCTCTCCTTGAACACACTGATACTTTAAGGAAATTACCACTCTGTTACATTTCAAGAGATTTATGCCATTTCGCCAAGTTCTTGGATCTGTATTTTTTCTTCTTTTTATTTAGTTTAAATATTAAGAGATTATGAGTTAGTTCTGGAGTTGATAACTGTGAAGACTTTAGCATTTGATTATCCTTTGGCTCTATGAACTTCCTTTATGTCTCCTTTCAGTTTTTTCAGCAGTTTCAGGCGTTCAAGTTAAGATCAATCAACTCCATGACAGTAAGACCACCAAACTTCTTTCATTACCTTTATATCTATTCACAATTTTTAAAACTCAACATGATTTATCTTGCAGATTATGTTGTTATAATGTCATGTGTCATTCTAGTGGGTCTTTTCTCCATTCAGCATCACGGGACGCATAGAGTTGCTTTCATGTTTGCCCCAGTTGTTGCAGCATGGCTTTTGTGTATCAGTGGTATTGGAATATACAACATATTCTACTGGAACCCACAAATATATCGTGCACTTTCTCCAGTCTACATGTTGAGGTTCCTCAGAACCACTGGCATTGAGGGATGGATGTCATTAGGTGGAGTCGTGCTTTCAATCACAGGTACCTATAATATAGTCAATTTTATTAGAATCTAAAGAGATTTGAAATTAATTTTCCTCTGTGATACTGTCTCAGGTGTGGAGACTATGTATGCTGACTTGGGTCATTTTTCTGCACTCTCAATAAAGGTAGTTTTAGAATCTAGAATAGTTAAAATTTGATCCCAATTTGTTAGTTTACCATACCAAAATGAATTCTGCTAACAGTTGCACTTAAATCTCAGATAGCTTTCACGTGTCTAGTATATCCCTGCCTGATTTTGGCATATATGGGTGAGGCTGCATTTCTCTCTAAGCACCATTATGACATTCAGAGAAGTTTCTACAGAGCTATACCAGGCAAGAAATTATTTTAAGAAACCATAAACTATCAATGATATTTATGGTATCTCTAGTGTAACTGTGCCACTATTTTTCTGCAGAAGCTGTATTTTGGCCAGTGTTCATAGTGGCCACTTTTGCAGCCGTTGTAGGAAGTCAAGCAGTAATTTCTGCTACTTTTTCCATCATAAGCCAGTGCTGTGCATTAAACTGTTTTCCTCGGGTTAAGATTGTTCATACTTCAAGCAGAATTTATGGGCAGATATATGTCCCAGAAGTCAATTGGATATTAATGTGCCTTTGTTTAGCCGTCACAATTGGCCTGAGGGATACAAACATGATGGGTCATGCATATGGTATACTTCTTTTCCACTACTAGGTTACTTATGATATTTGAAGTATTGACAAGTAAACTTTAACTATTTTGCTGGGTCTGTAGGGCTGGCTATCACCACTGTTATGTTTGTGACAACATGCTTGATGACACTAGTAATGGTGATTGTCTGGAAGCAAGGAATATTAAAAGCCATTATATGTTTGCTATTGTTTGGATCGATTGAACTGCTTTACATATCAGCTTCTATCTGCAAAGTCTTTGAAGGAGGGTGGATCCCACTTGTGCTATCTTTTATCTTTATGGGTATAATGTTTACTTGGAACTACGGAACAATGAAGAAACACCAATTTGATGTGGAAAACAAGGTTTCAATGAGCAAGATACTATCCTTGGGACCTTGTCTAGGTATGGTCCGTGTACCTGGAATAGGACTCATTTTCAATAATCTGACTTCAGGTGTCCCTGCTATTTTTGGCCATTTTGCTACAAACTTGCCTGCATTCCATCAGGTGCTAGTTTTTGTATGTGTCAAATCTGTTCAAGTCCCTTATGTCTGTGAAAATGAACGGTTGGTCATCAGTAGGATTGGTCAAAAGGAATATGGCATGTTTCGCTGCATTGTTAGATATGGTTACAAGGATCTGCAACAAGAGAACTACAATTTTGAGAATAAACTGGTATCTGCAATAATACAGTTTGTAGAAATAGAGGAGAGTGTTCCAGAATCAACACACGAATTGTCTATGGATGATGGAAACTTAAATGTGGAAGACCTTGGTGTTTCACAAAATAGGTCATGTCATGAAGAGAATTTTTTCCCATTTTCATGTGTTTTGCGGGTGATGAATAATGGTGGTGGCCATCTTCTAGAGTCAGTCTACAAAGATGAGTCTTTGCAGATTTTAAAAGCCAAAGAGTCAGGTGTTACCTATATAATTGGACATTCTTATGCAAAGGCAAAGAAATCATCCTCCATTCTAAAGAAGTTCGTTATAGATATTGTTTATGCTTTTCTAAGCAAGAATTGCAGAGACCCTGATGTTGTTCTAAATGTAGCTCATACCTCTTTGCTAGAAGTTGGTATGGTTTACCATGTCTAACACTAACCTTTGTTCATAGGTGTTCGCACAGAAGATAATACTCGGTTGGTAAATGTTGGTTCAAAACATTAACATTGGCTTCTAAAAGCCAATGATCATGATCAATCGGTTGTAAATTTTTCATCATTGATCTTTAGGTGTCCATGGTTCTGTATCTAGGAATTTAGTTCAAAAGATTGTAACATACAAGAAAAGTGGAATATACAATCATACAAATTTGCTTATAAAAATGTTATATTTTCTTCCTTCTTGATATACAATATATGAGCTAAAACTATTTAAAAAAAATCAATATTGAAATTGAAAGGAAAATCTTGATGTATGTTTTTGGTTGGGGGCCAAACCTAAGACCTCCTATGCATTATGGAATATGGAATATATATTTTGATGATGACAAAGGGTTTACAAAAAGTCTCAAATTGAAGTTGGAGTTATGAAGATACAAGTGATTAGGTATTTTTAGAAATTATGTTACACATTATATTATATCATTTAGTATCTACCTAAACTCCATTGCATGCCAAAACAATATATACCATTGCATTTCATGCATTTAATTTCATGTTAAAAATCTGTTTTAATAAAAAATATATATATATATATTAAAAATTTGTACAGCGTTCTTTTCAATGTTACGTTGATTGGTTTTAATATAATAAAACTATTTTAAATAGCTTTTTGATAAAGCTATCAGGTTTACATTGCTTTTTTTAAGCTTCACGTGGGTTTAGCATTTAATTGCATATAAGATAATATTAATAAAATAAAATAAAAACTATCAGGTCACATGGTTTTGATTTGAATAATAGGAAAAGTCAAAAGTTTCAAGTGGGTTTAAGAAACAAAAGGGGTATTACTTTTAATTCATATAAATGCTGCACCTCATTTTTTTTTTACATAGATAATTCGATTGAAAAAAAAAACTGAAAGAAAGTTTCTCTCTCTCATATATACGGAAACCACCAAAAACCACCGTCTTTTTTTCTGGAAAATCTTCTTGGAGAAATCTCTACCTGCACACAGAAGCGAAACACATTCTCTCGGTTAATCGATTTGAAGGCACAACAAAAGAAAAAGAATAGCAAATTTTTTTTCCTCGCTTTATTGATATATGTAATATAAATCAGTTATTCTGCTGACACAGCACACACGTGTATTTTGCACTTTCTGTTAGTTTGTTAGCAATTAGTTGTAACTAACTTAGTGAAGTTTAAATGTTAGTTAGTCTTTTTGCTTAAGTATATATATATATATATGTATCGAATCAGATTTTCTCGATTATTGAATAAACATTCTTTCTCATCAAACCAATCATTCTCATGAGTTCCTTGGATTCTGTTATGGTATCAGAGCTCTAAAGAGAGCTCTGGTATCACTGTGATTCGATAGGTCTCTTTCTCCTCTGTTTTTCAGGAGTTCTTTGTTTCTCTGAGACGATTTCTCAGCAATTTCTCTGCAATTTATCTCTGTTTTCTTCTAATGGCGAACCAGAACTCTCTTCCAGATTATCTTTCCAATCCATCGAACTCATTATACCTTCATCCTAATGAGAATCCATCCATGATCCTCGTTGCTCCACCTCTCAATGGTCGTAACTACCACACCTGGCTGCGCGCCATGAAAATGGCACTGCTCTCGAAGAACAAGATGTGTTTCGTAGATGGAAGCTTCATTCCACCAGATGTACATGATCCGCTTTATCCAGCTTGGGAGAGGTGCAACACTATGGTGTTGTCTTGGATCCACCGCTCGATTGATGAATCGATTTCCAAATCCATTTTATGGATCGAACGAGCTTCTGATGTATGGCGCGATCTTCGTGAGCGTTTTTCACAATCTGACGTCTTCAGGATTGCAGATCTGCAAGAAGATGTTCATCGATTACAACAGGGAGATAGATCCGTGAGTGATTATTTCACGGAGATGAAGACATTATGGGATGAATTGGATAATCTCAATCCACTTCCTAACTGCTACTGTGGAGCTCTAAATGAAATAAGACGCAATAGGGAGTGAGATCAGGTGATTCGTTTTCTTAAAGGTCTCAGTGACCAATTCTCTCACATACGGTCACAGGTTATGCTGATTGAACCGCTTCCAAACATGAACAAAGCATATTCACTTGTTGCACAGCAGGAACGTCAATTGAACTATGAAATGCATAGTGACTTTGCTGGTGAATCAAAGGCATATTCCGCTGATCAGCGTCGCATGCGTAATGGAAATTTTGGCAGAGGCAGGGGTGTAAGGCCTAGAGGTACCAAACTCTGTACCTATTGTGGAAGGACCAACCATACAGTAGATACATGCTACGCAAAGCATGGGTATCCACCAGGGTACAAGCCAAAGCCTAGAAACGTATCTGCTAATGTCGTTCTGAATGATGAATCAACTGTGACAGACAAAAATGATGCAGTGGTCCTTTCACAGCAACAATACAAGGACATGATGGAGATGCTTCAGCAAGCGAAGATTCAGAATGGAGAAGAGAACTCCAATGCTACTGTCAATATGGTTCATACCACATCATCCACTGCCTTTGCCACCCCCGTTAGTTCTTAAGTGTCTGGTAAGGAATCTTTTCATTGGATCCTTGACACGGGTGCAACAGATCACATATCATGTGTATCATCACACTTTATTAATTTGCATGAGATCAAACCTATTTCTATCACATTACCTAATGGTTCTAAGGTAACTGCACAACAGTCAGGTTCCATTGAATTGAGTCCAAGCTTGATTTTAACTGGTGTGCTATATGTACCAGAATTTTGTGTTAATCTGATATCAGTGGTAAAATTGGTCCAGTTTCTTGACTGTGAGCTCACCTTTCGTGATTGTACATGTTGTATTAAGCAGATCAAGTCATAGCAAGTGATTGGTACAGCTAGATTGTGCAATGGGCTCTTTCTTTTGAACTCATACAACAGGAAGGATAAAGACATGAATGCTGCTGCTCGTGAATATGCTTCTGCAAATAATATTGTTACAAATAACTCTATACTATGGCATTTAAGATTAGGACATACTTTTGATTCAGTAATGAAAGTAATGTGTGCTAAGTTTCCTTTCATTCCCCAAAATAAACAATGTGCTCCCTGTGATGTATGCCACATGGCAAGACAAAAGAGACTTCCATATGATTTGAGTAATACTGTTTCTTCTAAAGCATTTGATCTTATTCACGTGGACATTTGGGGTCCATTTTCAACCACTTCCTTTACTGGTCATAGGTACTTTCTGACTGTAGTAGATGATTTTTCAAAGTTTACTTGGATACTTTTGATGAAAAATAAGGGAGAAGCTCGAGGCCACTTGAAAAATTTTGTGGCAATGGTTGAAAATCAGTTTGATACACATGTCAAAATAATCAGAAGTGACAATGGTGCTGAATTTTTAATGCCTGAATTTTATTCTCACAAAGGAATCATCCATCAAACCTCTTGTGTAGAATGTCCACAACAAAATGGTGTAGTGGAGAGGAAACACCAGCATCTTCTTAACACAGCCAGGGCATTAATGTTTCAATCCAATTTGCCTCTCCAATTTTGGTCATTTGCAGTACTGCATGCTGTACATCTGATTAATAGGTTGAGCAGCCCCACATTGCAGAATAGTTCTCCTTACGAACTGCTGTATAGTATGCCTCCCATTATGATTCACTTAAGGGTATTTGGCTGCCTTTGTTTTGCTAGCACCCTTGTATCCAACAGGCAAAAATTCAGTCCTCATGCTAGAAAATGCATTCTTCTTGGTCACAGAGAAGAAACAAAGGGATATGTACTATATGATTTGACTTCTAGGGAGGTATTCATATCTAGAAATGTGATTTTCCATGAAAACACTTTTCCATTTTCCACGCATGTGACTGTATCTGACACCACCTCATCTGTTCCTATGGCTCCTAACAATTTAGCTGATGACCCATTCCTCATTGTAAACTCAGATGTCAGACCACCTAATTCACCATCTACTTCACCAAACCTATCCTTTCACAATACTGAATGCACGACAACCTCTCTCATTTCACCTAATGAACTTAACCGTGACCTCACAGTACCTCATAGTGCCCCACCCTTACCATACTTTACAGTACCTGATACAACATCTCCATCAGCTGCCCATCCTTTCCCATAACACACACCTAACACAACACACATACCAAGAAAATCTAGCCGAACTAGACAACCTCCAACTTACCTAAAAGATTTCCATTGCTCCCTTAGCTCCCTTAGTTCCCACTCAGCATATCCTTTATCCTCAGTTTTGAGTTATGACAATTGTTCCTCTCAACATCAGACATTATGTTTCAATCTTCATTCCATAGTTGAACCTCAGTCATTCGCAGAAGCAGTGAAAGAGCAATGCTGGCGTGATGCAATGCAAGCTGAAATTTCAGCTTTAGAACAAAACAGTACATGGTCCCTCACTGATTTACCTCTTGGTAAGCATCCTATAGGATGTAAGTGGGTATATAAAGTCAAATATCATGCTGATGGAAGTGTTGAGCGTTACAAGGTCCGTCTAGTTGCAAAGGGCTATACTCAACTCGAAGGGGTAGACTTCCTGGACACATTCTCACCTGTTGCAAAAATCACAACCATTCGTACACTCCTTGGTGTTGCTGCATCGAAGGGGTGGATCTTGGAGCAGTTGGATGTTAACAATGCTTTCCTTCATGGTGATTTGAATGAGGAAATTTACATGTCTTTACCACCTGGTATTAGTTGTTCAAAGCCTAATCAGGTTTCCAAATTGCAAAAATCCTTATATGGATTAAAACAAGCTAGTACACAATGGTATTCCAAGCTCACCTCTGCGTTGCTGTCCATTGGCTACAAGCAGTCTGAAGCGGATCACTCACTTCTGATTAAAAAGAGGCAAGATTCATTTGCCCTTTTGATTTATGTTGATGATGTAGTATTGGCTGGTAATGACATGCAGGAGATCATATCTGTCAAACAATTTCTTAATAGTCGATTTCACATCAAGGATTTAGGGGAACTACACTATTTCCTTGGTTTAG